GAATTTATAATGTGAATTGCTAATCACATAATAGTAAATAACAATAATATTTTGTCCTTATATAGCGCATTTCAGGACCGCAGGCCCTCTCAATGCGCTTTACAGATATATATTATTACCCGGTCATCGGATTCATGCTTACCCGCACACAAGGTATGCACATTCTCCACTCCCTGGGGAGCATTCCAGCCAGTCGCCATTTTACAAGCGCCATTGCTAATCAAACCACATTAGCTTTCGCATCCTACCGGGTACCCATACACACTACAGTCCATCATTTATGTAATTTGTCATTTTCATTTTACATGAACATAGCCTTCCATATATAATTGTTATTGGTGCTAAGAATTTACAAAATGAAGTGAAAAAAAGGATGCATCATTGACATGTTCTACAATGCTGGCATAAAGTAGATACTCATACTCAATTTAATTGCATTTACAGTATACACAGTAATTTGTCACAAAGGATGTGACTTTATCCCAGTATATTTTTTTTCTTCAAAAGCATAATTCTTTATCAGTATAGTACTAATAAGAGCATTCTGTTTCAACAACAAAAAATTTGGTTAATTCATTCTTTTCTTTAAAGACAGAGAAGGGAGGTTATTGTTTTCCCCTGTATTTTTGTCTATTTTTAAATTTGGGTATAACCTGTTTGGACCGAACGACATCATCTGTCAATCATTAGTGAACTAACAAGAGACGATGGTATGTAGCTTCACCAGAGCTGACCCCCGGTTTACAATAGACCATACAATACCAACAAAGGAGTTGCTATGTCAGACGTGCTGTAGCATCACCAGGAAAATAAAGGTAACATGGAGGTTTTGTATGAAAGAGCATTTTTTAGGGTGGAGCTTAGCAGGTCTAAAAAAATATTTATAAATCTATGAAATATATTTAGATGTTTGAATGACAAAATATGAGTTGTATGCAGCCCTGCACATCAACAGGTATCAACTTATATTTGGATGTCACCCGCAGAGACACCAACTCCCCCGGTACAAAAAAAAAAACAGACTGAATATCCTTTAAAAATCAGATTTTTGAGAGAAAAAAAGATTTTCCTGAAAACTCAACATTACCACTGGCCAGTCGGCCCAGGGCCAGTAAAATGTCAGAAAATGTTTTACTGGTCAGAACAGGCAAATAAATTGTTTTCTCTTTCATTAACATTTAATGAGAAAATTGTAAAGCAAAGTTTTATGTCATGTTTCTATGCTATTCCGCGTTTTTTTTTAAGATGAAAAGTCATATTTTCAAGAGGCAAAATCGTATTTTTGTATTTCGCTTTTTTATGGTACTAAATACGATAACATTTGTACTGGTTGGCATCTCTCCACCTCACCTTTAACAAGAATAATGCAAAGGCTTTCCTGAGGTGAGAGCATGGGGAAATGTTTTGGATCTTTAAAAAAAGACAAAATTAGCACAATTTTTCAATTTTAATGATTTCCAAAACACTTACTGCTAGACTAACCAATAAATAATCTATTTAATTGTACCTAATAATTGTCTATAAAAAAATGAAATTAACTATTTTTCTTAATGAAATTAATCTATAGACAATGACATTTCACCCAAAACACGCTTCCCTTAAACAAATTTCTCTACCTCATACCTCTCTCTAATCAATATTGATCTAAAGTGGTATCAATGGCAGTCAAGGGTATTGGAAAGAGGATCTGATTATAATTTATTACAATTAGGAATTTGGATGTACTAGTTTCCAGCTGATTCATTGACTTTTTTAATATACTATGGGTTGATACAACTGCTAGCACTTAAAGTCTTAATTTAATTATTCTGCTATGAAGAAATAATATTTCATATTTTCCCATTTACTGACGAGAATCACAATATCTACTGAATACTGAATCCCCTTAACCCCATAGGTTTAAGACAGGGATCTACCAGTTTCTGTATGTGTAATTGGTTAAACACTTCATTAACAAACAAAAAGACAAATGCAGTTTAATAAGGAAATGGAGTTATTCTTGAAATATCATGATGGAGAAAAAGCCTATAACTACATGTCAACTTAAACCACTATGATCTTTAGCCTTTGACCTTATCATTGAAAAATCTAATTAGATCATCTTCCTATGGTAGTATATCACCATGTTTGAAGCTCACACCTCACAGAGTTCTTGGCATATTGTGATAACAAGGCTAAAACATTTATTTTCAAAAATTGACCTCTATGACTTTTGGCATTTGACCCTTCTTACCCCTAAAATCTAATCAGGAACGTCTTCCTATGTTAATACTATCACCAAATTTGAAGTTCTTACCTCAAGTAGTACTTGAAATATCACGATAACTATGTTAATACCTGAAATTTCAGAGATTGACCCCTGTGACATTTTACCTTTGACCTACATATCCCACAATCTAATCAGATCTTCTTCCTATGGTGATACACTGTCACCAAGTAGGAAGTTCATACCTCAAGTGGTTCTTGAGATATCATGATAATGAGAAAGCAGAATGGACAACCCCAAAACATAATGCCTCCGGCACCACTTTCAGTGGGTGGTGGCATTAAGAAAACAACCAAGGTCACCTATGACAAAAGAAAAATCAAGAGTAGATCTGAACCTACACCTACGCTTTTAATTTGACATACAAAAGTTTTTCTCTTACCCGGTACCCTATAACATAATTATTATTTATTTCATCACACTAGTTTATAAAATCTACAAACAAGCACTGACCATGATACTGACCCTGTTGGATGTTCATTTCTTTCCATAAATACATTTAAAACTCTAACAATTTATTTAATCAATACAAGTCTACAGCCTGTTCCTATCTTGTACAAATTAATGGGGGTAACTAAAAAATAATGTGAAACGAAGAAGGCTAGAATAACTTGGGGAGAAAGGGAACTTTGAAAATGAAATTGCAAGGCCTCTTGGAAATGGAAGAATGCTTTACCTTGACTGGTTCCTGCAAGCTATGAGTTAATTTCCTCAACTGTAGGTAAGCATTTACAGCAAGAGAGAAAGAAAGCCAACGTAGCGACAGAAAAAGAACCAAAAACACCAATTAAATATCTGCAAATCGTGTCTTCCTGTATTTCTGCATCAACGAACACCGTGAACTTAATCTACCATGCAGTGATGTCTCCACTTAATGAAATCAATCACAATATTGCAGAAAAAGTTCCATCTAATTATCTTGTGGTGTTCATATTTTTGACCAAACAGAAGCCTCGTTCTCCCTTCATACTTACTTTACTTACATCAAATATTTCAGTAAAATATACATAAGGGGGAAAAATATATTTCATTATTCAGACAAGCATGAACAAAAATGTCCAGGTTTTTGACTGATCAAGATCGACACATGCATTTGTCCTGACCATATTTCATGCTTAATAATAATGTAGGGTCTTATATATCATAAAACCTACATACATCACATATATGGAAAAGGAATGTTACACACATCATAAAAATAATATGTATAATATACATCAACAAATCCAAAGTAAAATATCAACCTGAAATAGAAGGAAAATAGAAAGAAAGTAGTAAATAGTAACTGCAAACATTACTGAAAACTGGAAAAGAAAATTCATGGAAGAAATTCAAATGAACAACAACATACATCAAGGTTATCTAAATCAAGAAATGCAACACAAATTTGGGTATCATTTCAAAAGTTTAAAAATAAAGATACCACAGCAAATTTCAAGGTACAACTAACATGGTTGTTGAACTCACATTACAATTGATGAAGGCATAAATGGACATACAGGGAAGGTATTTTGAAGTGGCATGTCACAAAGAGGGGTAACAAAGAAATCAAATCTGTATACCTTATAATGTCTTCATGTGTGATTATCTGTGACATATGGAAAATAGTGTGAAACTTCATAGCAAGAAATATGAAGCACACATTCCATACAAAAAGGATATGATCATGTAAGACCTGAAATTAAGACATTAAAAGCTGACATACAGCAAACAATATTTGGCTCTGGGTCTCAGTAGGCCCTACTTTTTTTCTTTTTTTAAATAAATTTAATCAATTAGAAATTTTGCTACCATCAGTAGCCTCCTGATGGACAATACATTCTAAATCTATTTTAGAACATGTTTTATTTTTCTTCTTTAAAAAATGGTTAAAAGCTTTCATCTTTCTCAATACATGAACTTTACACTTCAAATATAAGTTTAATGAGTGGAAGAACAATATCCTAATTGAAATCTATTCATTGCTTAGAACCTAAAGACATTGACATATTATTTACTTGACTTTAACTGCTTCTACACATCATTACATGTATTGGCCTGAAGCTTTTACCTTTGATATTAAGTTTAGTTTGAATGGGTGATACTTCAAATTTACCACTGCGGTCTTACCAAACATTTCAAGTTCTAGAATTGATTTCTTAATTATTTTCTAGTTCGATTTAAAAATATATATTTACCTTAGTGGTTGTTTTAAGATACTCAAATAAATTCATATCTGTTCCTGATAATCTGAAAACAGGTGTTCCATGTTTCTATCACTTTGAATTTATTGGATTGATTGCTTTTTTCCACTTTCTCTGATTGAGGTATGGCACTTTATTTAAGAATAATTTTCCCTATCCTGAAAAAAAATAATTTAAAAAAATTGGTACAAACTTTATTATAACAATCTGATAAAGGAAAATATTTGTACAACTTTTACCTATCAGAATAAAGAAAAGTAAACAAGAACTTGAGGTCCATATACAAAAACAAATTGTAAAAAGTGTAAGTCATTGCATATCAACTCATCACACCATGCTTATTAATGGGGGAAAAGGAAAAAAATCCAAGTCGTTAGTATAGAATTCAATGCATGCAGTGATTAATGATGGTGAATATAAGAGGTGACAAGACAAAATCTGATGGGGAGCCTCTGATATATATAGAAAGGCGCCAGGAGTAGGTGAAATCGTATCTGTTTGGTTACACACATTGAACAGATTTCATTCTGAGCGATGGCTTGTTGTGTTACCTTGACGTCATTCAATGGAGCATCAAAACTGGACTGGTAAGCTATTGAATGTCGTTTCCCTTCTGCCATTCTCAGCTGAGCGGGCAAGTACTGTACTAGCGCAATGAAGAAGAAAAAAACAAAAAGCGATGCACGAAGGAAGGAAGGAGGGAAAAAAAGAGATGTACATGTAAAATGCGATGGCACAGGTAAAGTGAAGTGGCACGAATAAAGGGAAACACAATGAAGCAAAGGAAGGACCAATTATTTCAAAAAGTTAGCATGTCCTAAATGTATATGAATTAAATAAAAATACATAAAAAGGTGGAACTGAATGTGTGCATTTGCTGCAATTACATGAGTAGTTTAATTTTTACAATACAATGGATAAATGACAAGTACTCATGTATTAACTCAATGCTCTTGTGTAACTTAGAACATGAAATGTGACACTACTTAGTTAGAGACAAGATGCCGTAGTATATGAAGTACAAGCATATAAAATGGGGAAATTGTAACTCTAATTCATTTTATTGAACGAATTAGACTTACTTTTACTAAAGTAAGTCTAATTAAGTCATATGAAATGGCATCCGATACATGTTTTATCATCAATATCACTGCTGAGATAGCTGAATTACCCACTTCAATTATTTTACATGTATATGTTATGAAATCTTAATGTGTGAAGCAAGTCAATATATCTCTCTCAAACTTACAGGTCTACAACACAATGCTATCACTCTGAAAATGTCATGAACCGATGTGAATCAATCATGAAAAATTAATGTGCCATGGCTTCATTAATAATGCGTATCCCGCAATTTCATTCTGTATCAAATGGCTTAGGGGGATGAACGACACTACATCGTCAAAGGCTAAGGCCTCCACAGTTGCTTAGGGTTTTTTCCCCGTCGACTTCATTATCCTTGCCATATAGGGAGGTTTTCTCAAAAATCCTCTCGTTAAACTTGAGTACACTGGAACATGCTTGCAGAGTGTCTCTTCTCTTGACAAATTTATCAGGCGGGGAGGAGATGGGTATGTGATTACGTGTCAAGAGGAATGGCAGTGGCGCTCTGTTCTCTCCAGACAAGCCACATGACGTCAATAGAAGCGGGATGTTGGGGTCATCTACACTCAATTGCCCATTTGTCATCGTTTTAACTCCCTCCTTAAATCTGCCTTCAGTTGAGCTCCAGCTTAAAATCATCTTTGTCTTTATTCCACCCTTAACATGAAAAAACCCTTAAAACCCACATTTACGATGAGAAAACTCCACAGTTTGGACATGCCTTGAATATTTGTTCATCCTTTTTTACTAAATCCTTTAAATTTGCTTTTAAATTGGAAGATCAGAGATTTCATATTTATCACCCCACGCTCTGGATATATCATCCAGCCCTTTTTTTATGACATATCCCATTTATTTGAAGGATGTGTGTGAACATCATACTATGATTACATTTTTTATCTCAGCACAAACAACTGTGACAATCTTTTTCCGACTGAATGGTAAGTCTGTTCATTGTTATGTTGCAGTGCATATTTTTGATATAAAATATAGTGTTTTACCACTGAGTATAATATATTTCATATATATCTTGCCGATATAAATCAGGATGACAATTTTTTTTAAACTTTTACTTATAAAGGCTTTAATTACCTAGAGAAGACACTAACAACTCAAATACAGTGAGATTCTGTTAGAAGGCAATCCAACCCTTGTACTAAGTTTATTTGTATGAAACCAGAAAAATAAGATAGACATAAGAAAGATACAACGGCAAAGGTTTGAGATAAATCAGACCAATAATAAGAAAGATATGAATGTTTTTAATATTGGGACACTACTCAAATATATTATGAACAGCATATCATAACGGGACCCTCCTGAGTCATACATTTTTAAAAAATTGACATTTTAGTCAATTTGTGTATTGGAACAAAGTGGAAAGTTGTCCGCCACTACATCACAGACATCACCGATTCAGCCCATTTGAAGACCCCATATCCCATAAAAATGGGAAAAAATGAGGGTAACAAAGCATTTTAAAGAGATATCCTTGATTCAAACAGAACCACTTTTGAAACCATTTTTTGACAGTTTTCAAGATTTGCACATGTAGGCATTTTTAAGTTTGCCGTGCTCATATTGCTGTTTGGATAGTGGATATTAAAGGCTGCTCCCAAGCCTCCTTTAAAGGCATGTATCCACTTAAACAACTTTGGATCTCCCTTTCCTACAGGCGATTCCTACAAATTTTGGGGGCGCTAACCAAGCCTTGCATTTGGGATAAGAAGTCGAAAATGTAAACCAGAGGGCATTTTTTATGGGGGGGGGGCTACTTCCAAGCCCCTGTCCCTGCCCCTGGAGGAGTCAGTAGCCCTTCAGAACAATTTCATATACCCCTGCCTGTGGAATGCTTCCTATCAAGTTAAGTCAAAATCTATACTTGAAATTTAAAGATTTAAAAAAAAATGTTATTACTGCCATAGGAGCACTTGGGGGGGGGGGGGTGTGTGCTGCCCCAAGTCCCTTTGGGGCATATACTATGTTTGAACAACTTTAGATCTTCCTTTCCTGCGGGTGATTACTACAAATTTTGGTTAGAATCCAGCCATGCATTTTCAAGAAGAAGAAAATGTGCAATTACTGCGCCCTAATGAACTTTAAGGGCGGTGCCCCAGGCCCCCCCCCCCCTTGTTGGCACATACCCCATCTGAACAAATTTAGATCTCCCTTGCCTAAGGATGATTCCTACCAAGTTTAGTTAAAATCTGGCCCTGCTCAAGTGAGCTCCTACCCCACAACATTCTAATTTTTTGTACGATCTCATTCAAACTGTTTACTTCTCTGATTTTGCTACTTTCCTCTAGAGAAGTTTGCTATGAAGGTTGGATTTTCCTTTAATATTTTGATTTATTATAGGAAGCATTTTTTATGAGACTAGTACTTTGAAATCCAATGTTCAAACTTTCCAATGGTAAAAGTTACAAATAACAAAGGAAACAAAATTACAATAGAATTTCAACCGTTCTTTACTTTTGGCACTCAACTTGTGGAGAAAAAAACACTTTATCATGTATAGTTGCATTATCTCTATATCAATCACAGAAATCTAAGATTACCGTATTTGTCTTGGTGGGGGAGGAGCTTACAGGAGCTTGACACAGGCTTTGAAAGTAATTAATTCTTTTTCAAGCCACAAGCCACAACCACTGTTATTGTGCATAAATTTCCATGGTTGGAGCATTATAAGTGATAATGTAAATGCATTTGACCTCTTTTGATACAAGTGCACCCTCACAAGATGTACATTTCTTCCTTCCATTGATGTCAAGATAAGGATGATTCGGTAGTCATGGAAACATGAGAAAGAAGAGGAGGAAATCCCTGACTGATCAAATTGAAAGCATACATCCTAAAACGACTATCCAAATCATTGACAAATGGATAATACCTCAATCTTTCTAGGATAAGCTTCTCTTGAGGGATCTCAATATCTTATGGCAATTCTAAGACAATCTAAATTCCTGAGGGATCACATGTATTCAGTTTGAGTTTCTCTAAACATTTTCTATCAATCAGTTGCTGTATTTCAATCTGTATTTTCTTTCACTTGCTTCATGTCTCTCAATGTAGTTGAGGACGATTCATATGCCATAAGTCTTTTATACATTCTTTGGAATAACAATTGACTAATTGTTCTTTCTGTTATCGCTGACATTTAATAGTCAAAGGACATTTCCAGGATTTTTTTTGCAATTTCGGATTAATATTTAGACTCGAGTCATACAGCACACATTTTGGAATCTCCCTTTTCAAATTTGTCTCAATTTTAAGGGAGCTTTGGCAGAAATAATAATCACTTCCTTGTATCTCATTAAGTCTGAGAAATGAAAAACACATTTTTTTTTTTTTTTAAAGTTGATCCCATTGTTTTATATCAAACACCTACATCCAATTCCCTTAAAACAGGAAAGAGAAATCTTACTGGCTAAAAATATGATGAATTGTTTGATTAAACAAAACATATTCTAGATATGCAAACTAATAATGGTTTTGTACAGATCAATAAAATAAATTTTTCACAACAATACTAATGAACAACTGTTTTATTCTCTGTACATGTAGTTCTGCAACAAGGTCTATTCAGTTTCTGATACAGCCAGGCTAAGTGAAATATATTTTACATGTCAATTTCAGTGCATCCGCAGTTTGGGATTACCTCTACCTTAAACATCTGAATTTGATGATTTGCTTGATCAAATATAATGGAATTTAGATAATTACAAACTACAAATGATTTTGTACAGATCAATAAATGAACTAATCATTCCTCATTAATAAACACAAGACTATAAGCTTTTTAACTCCTTTTGTCTATCCTTCTTTTTTCCTTACAACAATACTAACAAACAACTATCTTATTCTCTGTAGCTTTGCAACAGGGACAATTCAATTTCTGATACACCCAGGTCAATTTAAATGAATTTTTAAAGTAAATTTTAGTTCATTCTCAGTTTGGGATTTCCCCTACCTTGAGCAACTGTTAATTTGAAACAAATTTAAATTCTTTTAGGGCATACTTTGCCATCCTCTTGTGCAATCATCTCGCTTTCTCCTCTCCATTCTTCTAGAAAAATTCAAACAAATAGAATGGAACCTGCACGTATTCGACCAGAAGGTTATCACAAGGTTTGCAGACCCTGGCAATATCTTTCCTTGTCTCGTATAGTAGCACATCTTGAGGTAGGTAAGCCACAGAGTTGGATCAATTGAAATCTCAAACATCTCTCCAGGCAAACATTAATCAAGATAAAGCACTTTCAATATATGGTCTGGTGAGAGCCAGAGAGGTTTTCACTCTCTGTAAAGTATATGAGTTAATGGCCTTCTGGCTGGCCTTCGTTAGATGGTAGTCCCTCTTGCCATACATGCATGCAGTGTGTGCCAAGAGGGTATAACAATCTTCAGAAGGATCTACATCTGCGTAAAGGAGAGAATTCGGGCATGGATGTCAGTACACATGTGCAACATTTCATATTGGCTTCTCCTAAATCAGGTAGCAAATGAAGCACATTTTGTCAGCTTATATCTACCTCCTAAACAATGTGATAGATGACTTGTGTTTCATGCCATGATGGTGGAGACTGAAATTTATGTTCCATGTTGCCTTGGTGGCATGCACTTAATGAAGCAAAGTATATGAATGATGTTGTGGTTTCTTCCATATGGATTCCTGTGCCTAGCATCACATCATGTGCTTTATAGGAATACTTGCAGGTCAGCTTTACTTCATGAAACTAACTCTGCATTACTTGTAACTTGTACAAAAATTATTGCTATTCATTTTATATGTATTTTATATGAGAACATTCATCAAAACTGATATTCAAGCTTGCACATGCGAAAGACATCTAGATAGCAATGATGTGAAAGTTACTTTTTCATCTTATGTTAGGCCTGAACACATTTGGTGTTCTATAGTGTTTTGAATGGCAGGATCAGTCAGAAAGAAACTTGCAGTCATTGTTGTCTTTATGCATGTATAGCAGTGATGTGGGTGGGTGAGTGTGTAATTGGATTTTTTCCGCCTGATGTATATCGACCATCACTCAGATGTACATATAAGACAGACCAACATACAAGCCTTTGCCTGATCCATCTGTTCCTCAAGTGTTTTATGAAAGATATACATGCACAATATGATTTCCCTTGCCTTTTTATTGAGTGTGTTATGCTAGGAGTCCACTGGGCCGGCGCCAGTTGGTGCCAGTTTGCACCAATGCAATTTACTGTGGCGCCTAGTGTCGCCAATAAGGTGCCTAGTGGCGTGTAGTGGCTCAAACTGCCTCCCAACTGGCTCGTGGTGGCCCGTAACGGCACCAAATTTGAATGTGGCGGCAAGAAAATTTCAAAATGTTTAAAATTTTCGTCGCGCCACTTGCATCGAGCAATCAGCGCCAAGTGTCAGCCAAGTGGCACCAAATGGCGCGAACATATCGCCCTTTGGCGCAAACAATCCACCTATTGGAATCCACTGGAATGTAATGGCGCGAACTGGCGCAAACTGGCGCAACATTTTGGAGCAAGCCGGGTGGCATTAGTAGAGATGTTAACAGCTGAGGAGGGTCTGAACCAGGTTGTTGTTGTTGTTGTTTGGTATTATCGGCGTTTCATTCTTTTTTAGAATATTTACGCCTTTCACTTTATTTCTTTTTTTCTTCTATTTTTTGGTACTATTTGTAAATTCATACTCTTCTTTTTTTTTTTTGGATAATATAATCTCAGATCTACTGGTCCATGAAAACCCCTCATCGCAATTGGCACCTTCCTGCCAGACCGGCGCGGTACATTGCGCAATCTTCTCAGCCATCATTGGCCTAGGCAACTCTGGTGCCGGTGAGGGGATTCTGGGGTAGATCTCCAGAGTCTCTTGTTTGGGGTTTACCGTCCTCAAGCCGATAGGCCGGTATTTATATAGTCGGCAAGTAGCGCCAAGCGGCGGCAAGTTCAAACCAATTTGGCGACCTTTGGCACAAAACTAATCACCAAGTGGCGCAAAGTAGCCGTCTACTGGCGCGAATGGCGCCAACAGGGTGAATTTTGGAATCAAATGGCCGTGTAATGGCCGAAACTGGCGCAAACTGGCGCAACATTTTGGAGCAAGACGGGTGGCATTTGGCGCACGCCATATGGCACCCAGTTTATTCCACTTGGCGACACCTGCCGAGCGGACATTAATTTGGCGCCACAGCGAGCCACTACGCGCCAATCACATAATCTTTGGCGCGAACTGGCACCAACTGGCGCTGGCCCAGTGGACTCCTAGCATTAAATACATACGGGATCTTTAAAGACAGCCAACTAAGGCTGCACTCTCATAGTACAATAATGCACAGAAAGTATTTCCTGTCAATTAATTGCAAATAATCGATATTGCAGACAAATAATGCTACGTTTACACCATGTTCCCGGCGGCCACGGCAACCACGTTTCAGGCCACCGTGAACGAAACGGGATTGACGTGACACAACGCGGGGGACCGTATGAGCAAACGTGACAGGCCGTGATTGCCGTGGATACCGTGTCAGATTTTTAAACTGTCAAAAAATTTGCCACGGCAGTCACGGTGCGGATGAGAAACCTAGTAATAAATCGGGGTGAACGTAACAAAACGTGACAGTCCGTGATAGGCCGTAACAAAACTTGGGGGTGGTCCGTAGTGGAACGGTTTAAGCGCCCGGCACGCTACGGCGCGTTGCGTTCTACTACGGTCTGACACAACGCGAGGTCTCAGGATACCATGATTGCTATTGCTTGGGAGACCTTCTTTTTATACCGCCGTCCACGTTTCATCCGTACAAAGCCTTGACAGAACGTGAAAAACGTGTCAGACCTTGATCAGAACGTGGGAAACGTGAGGGACCCCATTAGAACTTGACGGGCCGGGAGGGCCCGTTCTGGCATCCGTGGTAAAACGCGGGCCGAACCGTAGTGCGCCTTGGAGCCTCCGGGACTCAGCATCCCCTTCCCCCCACGGCCCATCACGGATACCGTGGTAGACCGTGAGAAAACTTGGCAATACGTAACAAAACTTGAATCCAGAGATAAAATTGGTCTAAATCCCACGGCGCACTACGTTTCGGGCAACGGGGCTGCCGTGGCCGCCGGGAACATAGTGCAAACGTAGCATAAAGGAAAGATAACCAGGCTGTAAATGACAATTAAGCAATTCTCTGCATAAATCTGGGGATGTTTTTTCATATTATTTTCTCTATACATCATTTTTAAGTATGGTTTCCTGCTTAATCATGAACAAAAAATGATGTGCTGAAAAAAAGCTGATTAAAAATTATTGAAAAAAGACTGGAGAGTTTGCTTACTAGAAGTGAAGTGAAAATAATTTCTTACCCCTCCCAAAAAGAGATATACACTTCAGCTTCATTTATAAAATGGCAAGAGATTTAAAAATGAACTGAGTATGTGAAATTTTGATTTTGATTTTTAACAACAAATCAGTAATGCACATAAACAGGCACATGTCAATGAAGATGAATTATGCCTGTGGGTATGACTAGAAGTCATAACACCTCCACACTGCATGCTCATGGATGCTAATATTTCACAAGATGGAATGATTAGAGTTCAACAAGACTCAGATCAGGAGACAACTTTCTGGGACAAAATCTCAAGGGCATGGAAACGCGATCAGATGCAATACGAAATCCGGCTGCTAGCATGAACGGGGACGTGGGAAGCTAGTTTAACCATTTGGGAGAGGATCTTGCCTTCCTGCCATCCCAGGTTTCCGATGATAACATACGTGTGTGAGGTAAAGGTCATGCTCTCGACATGCTCTCATCCAGCTCTTTAGGAGCAAGGCAAGCAAGTAGAGAGGGAAGCTAGAGCAGAGCAGAATAATTTTTATGAGTATTTATGAGATTGAGAAGAGATGAGACACAGGTCAATCAAAGAAGATCCTATAGGTTCCATCTGATAATTAGCATGTTTATAAGCTACCCATCCTCATCCCCAGCTGACTGACACTTGTCTTGTCCTCTAACTGCTCATCATTTGATGTTTAATTCAAGCTGATTGCTAAATTGCATAGAGATATATATACTTGTATCAAAAGCTTTCCAAATTTATTACTAATATTATCATCGTAGAAACTGTGTGCAACTAATGGAGCATTTAAAAGCTGATATCTGTAAAGATGATTTTATTTTAGGGAGTAAGGGTGATGTAATATGCTTTATGTTATTTCTTTCTTCAATGAAACTACAGATATTATTGTGGTATTACAGTGTTTGATAGTCTTCTCAGTTACCAAATTTTGTGTGAATGTTAAATTGTGAATTTCTACAGAGGTGAAAATACTCTAGAGAACTATCAGTAAGCTGTCATCATGTCAAAGTGGAAGAGATCAACTGCAGTGTCTTCTTAGAGGAATGTACTGTTGATATTGCATGATTGGACAGATGCAAAAGAAAGAAAGATGTGTCAACTTGAGTGCAGAGTGCAATACAAGACAGTGTTTTTATTACATGGTACAATGAGGATGTTGGTGAAGAGAAAAACAGCAGTGACATGTATGAAATAACAATCATCAACTCTAGCAGCAGAGAAAGGAAGCTGGCTACAAAAAAAAATTACAGTGATAGGGAGCAATATTAATACTACTTCTTGCACACTAAACTTTTTTTGATCATAGTTGCCATAAATTGGAAAGATGTGTTGTGAAAATAAGTAAGTGCGCATCCATTTGTCCATTTGATGCGTGGAACAATCAAAGACACATATATTTGAATGGTAAAGGGATACCTACCGATTCTTCTGTTGTCTCTAAGATGAAAACCATGCATCGCTGGCACTTCAGCAGACTAACTGCTTGCCTCATTATCTTGTGAACCACATTGTCCAAGGAAGTCTGCTCTTCAAAGATACCTCGAGCCAGTTGAAGTAGCATCTAAATACACACAAAAATACAAAAGAATGGAAGTCAAATGACAAGAAAATGGCTTTTGAACGCTGTATCTAATAAAATGCATCTAGCAAAAGTAATGGATTCAAGAAATAATGATCTTATTTTTGTATTGTGAAAGGAAGAAAGTTCTAAAAATAAAATAAATGGAGAGTAAATTACTGGTTTGTTTGTGCCAACTGGCTTTGCATTATACACACTGTTGACACATTGTTTGATTTTTCTGTATATGGCATTATATTATATTATACATATAGAACAAATAATTAAATTTGGATTATAATCCTCCGTCATGGTAATATACAAATAATGATTTTAAAAAATTGAAATAAAAATCCTTGGAGAGCTCACTTCTTCACTATAGTGTTTTTTTATTTCAATTGTTTTATATGTTTATGCATTTAAATATATATATGTATATATATATATATATTTATATAACATTTAATTATCAAATGTTAGCATAAATGAATTGAATCGGATTAAACTGAAGACTGAAGCCATCAGTCATCCTTACAAAATGAAACACTTCACTGGCCTTGTCTTAGACCTTCAGGACCATCATGCACTGAACCATTACAATTCACTAATGATATTACTTTCAATACTTCATTACCCATTTTCACCACATGAAACAGATTGTTCTTTGATTACAGATTGAGACGTCTGTTTTCTCAGAGTCATATTTGGTGATTACTTGCTTGCATTAAGACACTTTGGTGGGATCAGTGATGGGCTGGCTATTCATGAATGCAAAAACAACATTAAAAATAGTCCAATCAACTTGATTTTCCCCCTTTTTTGCTCCATATTTTGCTCCATATTGGGGTTGATATTCTATTCCTACATTAAAAATAACAGCTTATGAATCGTGAAGATATAAAGCTGTTAATACATAATTTTTGTAAAATTTCTGTATAAGATATAAATGTAAGTGTAAATACTGAAATTGCACTTAAAACACATGTAAAGACAACTAAGTAGAGTACACTAGTCTATGCACTCACATAAATTGTTGTGGGAACTGAAATCAACTGCTGTGCAGACCTTAACATAATAATCATTTCCCAGTATGATCTATTACATTAACCACTTCAGTGTCTCCTACTCTTGGGAACAAGATATTTATTATGTTTTATGATGATTGACCTATTTAAGGTGGCAGGTGCCCTACCAAAAAACAAGGTGCATGATAAAGTACACACATGAAAATAACTAAGGAGACCCCAAAAAAAGACACATTGCACTGACTAGGTCTAAAATAAGAGTGTCTTTATGTCAAGACCATTGCTGAGCCATATCGCCTCATTACATTATGACTCTCGATCAACACATCATTAACGGTTAATGTACACTGGTGCTTGGCACATGAACTAAATTGTTCTTTGATTACAGATTAGGATTTTGCTTGCTTAAATTTCTTTTACATCTGGTATTTTGTCATAACTTTGTTACAACATGAAATTTTGATGACATAAGTGATGAACAGCTAGCGCACCCAAGCTGCAACAACATGAAAGCATATGGTGCGTGTCAATGAACTGTCGAGCTTCAGCCAGCCAGCCAGCCAGCCATCATGCCTAGCAGCCAATCTAATGTGATCACACCTTCATGGTAATCTTATACCCTTTGATAGGCCAGCAATCACAGTAATCAAATGGGTCTGATCAGTAAAGCCGCTAAAGCCTATGGGATGCTCAACACACCTGAAGGGGGAGTTCAGAAATGCATTCAAATTTAGAATTCTTCTATGGCAAAAGCATTTGTAGGGGCTCTGCAGATACCATGTTTGAAATTCATCTTTCTTAAATCAGCACAACTCAGCAAACAAGCTAGATTTGTGCTTTCTATGACATGGTTCACATATCATGCTTTATCCTACAGTTGTAGTTTTTAGTAGTAAAACCAGTTATAACCACTTGCTTTAATCCATATTACATTGCCCTCATGGTAACCATATGGTAGGAATACTCCCCAGGGAGTGGAGATGGGGCACATTGTGTGGAATAAATCCAATGACCGGGTAAACATATCTGTAAAGCGCTTAGAGACTGTATTCTGTATTAAGCGCTATATAAATTGAGATTATAATGCAATTAACTGCCCATCCATATAAGGCAAATATGGAAGCTGGCCAATACAAACAATCCCAGATATTTAATGGAATAGTGGTAAGAACATTCTTAAATCATTAAATCATACTTAATATGACTTGATAATATCACTGCCAAAAGACTTGTAAGGCTTCAAATCTGAAGGTAGAACAAAAACTGCATATACACTGCATAATGGTTTATGTTTAACAGTAACCCGAGAATTAACTACATGTATTATACTAAAGAAGATGGTTGCATATTTTGCAAATATAGATCAAGATGTGTATCAGAGATAAGCAGAGATGAAAACGGGGGCTCATTAGTGTCTTTCATCTGTCCAATTATCCATTCATACCAGCATGATATCATGCATCCCACTGTGTTACACCTGTAATAAATCCAAATGTGCATATCGATTGCATTTCTACTTAAAAGTATATCATTTATTATATTGTGCATCCAAAGTTTATTGGTTTTTGATTGGGTGAGAGCTCTTCACATCATCAAAAATAAACACACAATTTTGCAAAATGCTATTACAATTCATCAATGTCTATGAAAATGTTAAACTCTAAAATTACAAGAATGAGGATTAAAGCAATATCCCAGTGACATGGATATCAGGCAAACTATCAGTACTTTTACCTGTTATTGCATGTCATGTCATATTTGTATAGTGTCAGTTGCCGACATACTTTTAACAACTGCTAAAGCATAAACACTTAAAATTACAATGTGCTTTCCTTGCAAGTCACACTGTCTTTAAAGCTGTGAATTTTGCCAGCACTATCAACTCAGCTATATAAAATTGATAAATGTTTAGCCAACGATGACCGCTTGTAACACAGGTTACTATGGATTTGCCCTTACGAAAATGAAGTATGACTTGATAGCTAGTGTGACGTTGGGATAGACGCCCTCCTCATATTGTATTTATAATATTGTTGGTGTCCTGGGCAGGCAGGATAGGTTATTGTCAATGCGACAGAATTCTCTGCATGCACTGTTTGTGCCACCCATTTACAGGTCATGAATTCTATATGCGACAAAGTCAGCTGTTATTTCATAAATCATTCAGCAGGGGAATAAGGGACCTGGAATTCTGACACCGCATGGGTGATCAAGCAACGCTTGATTACCGCCGCAAACTAGGATGGGCTTCAGAGATGACGGCTTTCCATCTACGCAGGCTGCGGTCGGTCGGGAGGAAAAGGGGGTAGCACATAAATTGTTTCTCAAATTCCATCAGAATAATAATTGCGGGTGCAATCGAGTATAAATATAAATGGACGTGGCCATGGCGGAAGGTGTCGTCAAACAGCAGACGTGTCCAAACAGATGATTGAAGATTTAATGTCCTCTGTGAAATCAAACACCATCTCCGGTGTTCCAGGGTGTCAAAACTTACCTACTGTGACATAAACTCATGTAAGATATCAAGAAAATTACCTTTACCATAGTAAATATATGACAAATCAGCAAGTGATTGCAAAAAGTATTAAAAATGGGGTCACACTCCAAAAGTGTTATGAAGAGTGGCACTTTGGAGCACATTAAGATTATTATGAGTTTGGGAAAAGGTCACAAAATGCCAGGAGTGAATACATGATGAATAAGTTAGAGGTATTTGCAGAAGGGGTATTCCAATGGACATGTACACAGCACTTCTTTCCTTTACTTTTTTCTTCAAGAAAGTCATCAGGGGATTACTCCTTACATGTAGTTCACACCAAAAGTATTTATATTTCTGGACAGCACTATTACTGGTTATGACCCCATCAACCACAAAATGTCATAGAAAATGGTAGACAAATGACTGCATTAGTACATACATGTATCTGTTCTACAACAAAACCATTCTTCATAACTATACTCAACTACCACCCATGTAAAAGAAGAGTGTACATTTATATGGCATTAACAGTTAACCTAAGTCTATGATAACCTTAATTTTGATTGCTATTTGTGATTAACAAGTTATTCCACTTTTTAAGACTGGGTCCTAATTGTGACCATTTTTTTAAAACAATATGTACTTTTGTGTGAATACATAGGAAAAACAATATAGCTATTGTTATTACTACTTTATCTTTCACATCACCATCCAATAAAACATTTAAAGAAATTTGACAGGAGCTGACATGAAAACTAATCATTCTTGTCCTTAAGGCATTCAGCTACTATACAACTAAAGAAAAATTGTCATTAGTTAAGGATTCAAAGCGAAGGGAAGGAAGTCCTGGTAAATTGGTTTCATTTAGCCTACTCAAGTGTGACATTGCCTAATGACAAATGAGTGAGATACTCTTTCAGGTAGATTAGCTTTGCATTAAATTTGATGGTTGAGTTTTAAAGGTACCTTCTCAATATTTGTCTATACATGCAAATCACTATTTGTGTAGTGAGTAAATAGTAATAGAGGAAGAGAAAGAGGAAGAGAAAGAGAAAGAGGAAGAGAAAGAGAAAGAGAAAGAGAAAGAGAAAGAGAAAGAGAAAGAGAAAGAGAAAGAGGAAGAGAAAGAGGAAGAGGAAGAGAAAGAGGAAGAGAAAGAGGAAGAGGAAGGAGGAGGAGGAGGAGGAGGAGGAGAAGGAGGAGACGAAGGAGAAGGAGAAGAAGAAGAAGAAGGAGAAGAAGAAGAAGAAGAAGAAGAAGAAGAAGAAGAAGAAGTTTTTGTTAAGAAACATATTACACCTAAGGTTTGTTATCATTTATTATCATATCTTCATCGATTTGGAAATCAATTTCTTCTTAAACCAAAATAATATATAGTATATCGATCTATAGTAGATGTGGACATACTGTACTACATGTTTGCACAAAGACGGAAATATGTTTGCTTCAAATTTAAAAAAAAGCTCCAGTGTGTTAAAATCACAATTTCCTGGAGA